ATGATAGGGACAGGACGTGTATCGCGCTCCCCTCCCGATCAGTCACAATTATTTCATCTGGTTCAAAATAGATACAGGCCCCTACTTTGGTGAGCAGGTCTCGTCCGAGCAAGGGAGCAGGGCTCTCAGGGACGACCAGGAAGGAGTGTGTGACCTGGTGTTTTCCTAAGTCTACCTTTCTTTTGGTAGTCCATGAGCATAACTAGGTACCTGTGGCCCCCTGAACAACACTTGTTCGTTCCTTGTTCAAAGGTCCACATGCCTTGTTTAAGACCAAACACTGGGCGCCGGTATCCACCATGAACCCCATCGGCTTCCCCTCCACACATACAGTTACCCAAGATTCGGGGAGGGGGGTCCAAGCCCCGTCTCCCTCAGTCCTCTTCTCCGGCTAGGATGACTCTGGCCTGCTCCACTGCTTGTTTCCCTTCCCTGTTACCTCCCGGTCTCCTGCCAAACCCTCTTCTTCCCTTTAACTTAGGGCACTCTCTCTTCCAATGCCCAGTCTCCTTACAGTAAAAACAGTGTTCCTTATCCGGGGTCCTGGCGTGGCCCCCTTCCCTGGGTTGGTCCCGGACACCCGCTAGGAAAATACGGGCCATTTCTCTTTGTTGCTTTCAGTTCTCCTTAGCCTGGAACTCCCTGTCCTCCTTTCTCAATTTCTCCTGGGCCTCCCTGTCTTCCTTTCTCTGACTTTCCTCTCTTTCTTTTGGAGTTTCCCTTGCAGTAAAGACCTTCTCCGCTATCTGTAACATTTCCCTAATGGTTATCTCCCCTAAGTTTTCCTGTTTATTGAGTTTTATCCTAATGTCTGGAGCTGCCTGATTAATAAATGAGAATACCACAGCAGACCGGTAGATATCCGCCTCGGGGTCAATAGGGGTGTACTGATGGTATGCCTCATAGAGGTGCTCTAAGAAACTGCTGGGCTTTCATTTTCCCCTTGGACAACTGCCTTTACCTTTGCAAAGTTGGTGGGCCTCCTAGCAGCCGCTCAGAGACCTGCCATAAGAGTCTGGCAGTAGATTCAGAGATGCTCCCTACCTTCTGCGGTCCCGAAATCCCAATCAGGGTGGCGTAGGGGGAAGGCCTCATCTATGGCCGGTTGGAGGGTTGTGGGTCTCCCGTTGTCACCCAAGACGTTTTTTCTAGCTTCATGGAGGATGCGCTCCCACTCCTCCGTCGTAATAAGAGTATTGAGCAGCTCGTGACAGTCGTCCCATGTGGGGCAGTGTGTATGCATGACGGACTCCAGGAGATCTATGAGACACTTAGGGTCTTCTGAAAAGGGTGGGTTCTGCGTCCTCCAGTTATATAGATCACTGGAGGAGAAGGGCCAGTACTGAAACTGTTGCCCCCCCTCCCGGTCCTCCTTGGCCTACCGTCCGGACTGGAAATGTGGGGACAGTTTCCTCCCCATGTGTTGATGAGGAGGGCCCATCTTCTCCCTCCCTTTCCCGTACCCCTCAGGGGCGGAGTCTTCGACCCATTCCTCCTCCGGCCGTCGGTCCTGTTGAGGAGGATGAGGAAATTTCCTCCTCCGGAGCACTGGCCTGACCAGGGGGAGTCACGTATGGGGGGGCCGATCTTCCTCTACCCCGCGAGGGATGGGTAAAGGGGGGAACTCTCCGGTAAGACCGGGGTGGTAAAGAGGGTGTCCTATTTTGAGGACTGGTCAGGGAGGGAAGGGGAGGTTTCTCTTCCTCTTTTATGACCAAGGCAGGCGTGACTGGGGTTTTAGCCCCGGGAGCCGAACTGGAGGGGTGAGTCAGAAAAGCTGTTAACCAAGGGGGGGTTCCCGCTAAATCTTCCCAAACCAAAATGTAGGGGACCTGATCTGGGTGGCCTTGATTGCCTGGTCGGAAAACGACAGCCTTGACCTTAGTGATCAGGTCTAGGGAGAGGGAACCTTGAATGGGCCATCCGACTCCGAAGGTGGGCCATTCTGCAGAACAAAGGGTGTCGAACTTACCTTTCTTAATGACCAGACCCGCATTTAATGCCCTTTTTTTGACTTCTGGAAAGTGAGAGAGAATCAAAGACTTTGGGGTTGTTTGTCCCTGTCCCATTGGGGGATGAGAAGCAACCATCAGGAGAGATAGAACAAAAAGGGTGAAAGCAACAATAACTCCACACACACAGAACACTCTCCACCACTCGCTTGGACCGGTCCTTCTCTCACGCTGGTGCGCACCCCATTCAACTCCTCACCGTCCAATTTGGATATCAGGCCGAAAGGCGTCCACTTGATGGGTGGTCGTCGACTAGTTCAATTAGTTCTTCACCTGGCGCCAGGATTCCTGAAATGCTTGAGCCCAAATGAGAGGAAAGCCTCTCCCAGCAGGACCTTGTGGTCCCCTTAACGAGATTCCCAGAATGATTCTCCCCGGGGATTGGCCAAATCCCCACCGCGGCCCAAATGGGAACAATCATCTACCAATTAGTTCCCTCCAAATGAGAATCTCAGACTCTCCCAATGCCTAGGACTTGGAATCACCTCTGCTTTCTCGTGGACGGTCTGCCTTCTCGAAAAAGGGTATCTTGGTGGGACCTCCAAATGTTAGGGTCCGAAAATCCTATTCCTTCGAGAGACAGAGAGTCACGCGTGAATGCAATCAACAAAGCAGGGTTTATTGAGCTGGCAAGCCAGGGTCAAGCTCCCACACAGACACACAGGTCTGATTGGGCAGACAAGACCCGGAGCCTCTTTAGGGAAGATCTTATATAGGTCCCTACTGGCCGTTACAGCAAAAGCCAATGAGTACATAGCCAGTACATAGCCAATGAGTTTGTAACACCACATACATTTCCAGCCTATCCATTTAAGAGTACATTACTTCTTAGCCTATAGATTCAAGGGTCAGTATTCGCACGTGCGGTTACATTTAGCAAGCAGGCAGGGCACATCTTGCACGTACTTCTAGTCGTCTTTCGCAATCCGCTCACATTCCTCACATTCCACCTGCCCCCATCCTGTTTATCTTATCCTGCATGGGGCATCCTGTACTGGCTTTACTGTTTTCTGCTACAGGGATCTGCTGGGGCAAAGGGCACATCCTTTCAACATAAGCCTGGGGGTGTTGTTATTGTGGCCTAAGCCTGAAAGGCCAAGTATACAACAAAATCTTCATTCAACAGGATAAAGGCAGTTTTCGCCCTATGGACCCAGAAAGATTATGAAAGAAAAATGTTTAGCATAGTGCTGGGCACAAAGGAAAATCTTGCTGATACTAATGTTTATTTTTTTATTATATACCTTATCCAGATAGACCAGAAGCTTCCCTTAAAAATGGAAAGCTACGTTGGGACTTTGCTTTTGGTATTTTTTACCAAATATGTCTTGCTGTGTCAGAAATGGACTCCTACCCTTCAGTGCGCCAAGCAGCCACCAGCAATTATTACAACAGATAGGCTGGCCTCACCTGCTGTCCAATTTAAACTTTGGGTTCATCTGTATGTTACATAGTATTATACAGAACTATTTCAATAGACTTCGGAGAAATAACTACTAGCAATAGTAGTGTCATGCACTCAGTCTATTATTGGCTCAGCACTATATATTAGGTATTATTGTCCCCCTGTAACAAGTACAGAGAAACTGTACCTTAAATTACTCCCAAACCTGGAGTTTTCCTGCTCCTTCCCTTATTGACTTAGCTGTCAAACTCATCAAAACTACCATGACCCACCCTAGGATATTCATAAGAATCATTTGGAGATTTGTGAAAAACAACAACAACAACCAAACAACACCCAGATCTACCTCCCCCTTAGTTAACTGAGATACAGTGGGGTAAAAATGAAACCAAAATTACTGCTAGCCCCATCTACTATCATCAACTGAGGACTAAAAAATAAGGACAACTAAAAGTTGAGAGAATGTCTAAGGTCCTCTTCTTCATTATGGCATAGTTGGCCAAAGTATTCTCTTTTCTTTCCCTCCCTCTCTTCTTTCTTCTCTTGCTCTTCCCTTCCCTTCTTATTCTTTTTAATTGTTCATTTTTGGCTTCCCAAAACTAAGTCAATGAGAAGACTGACTTTGTCTATGAAATGAAGATTGTGGCTCAATTAGTTCTATGCAAAGAGCATTGTTTGCCTCACCAATACCTCCTCCCACGCCTCTCAGTATGAATCCTGACTTTCAGTTATATATCCTCTACCTCTAATCCACCCCACTGACCAACCCCACTTCTAAGGCTGGGGCACATCAATCAGGCCTAAAAAAACCACAGACCCTGCTGGAGTTAGCAGTTCATAGGAAGATAAGTAGCCCATTATAGGCAAATGTGGTCTAAGGAGAAAACCTTTTTTTCCTCTTCTGAGCACACTTCTGGAATCAGCCTTCACCCACTCTTACACTTGATAGCTCTAGAAGAGTTGATAGTTGCTGAAGCTATCTTGTGGCCACATGAGACAACTCTACCCTAGAAGGAAGCTGATCCCAGACAACAGCTTCAGAGATCCAAAAGATCAGAAACAGAAATCAGAGATCCAAAAGATTGGTGTTTCATGACATCTCCGAAAGATGTCACTAAATTAATCCAATCCTGAAATCAACTGCATTTACGGCAATGAAATGAGTCAGCAAATTTGCTTTAATGTTTAAGGTTTTTGAGATGGGTTTTCTGTTACTTAAAACCAGATGCATCCTAGAAATCCACTGTACATTTCAAAAGAAGGCATACCTGTTTCTTAAATTGAATTGTATCTGAAAAGTTTATGAGGGTGACATATATATAACACCAAAATTTCAATACTTCTATCGTATTTATAGCTATTACCACACAAAAATTGTTATTTGGCTTCAGGTTTGGAAAGAAATGTGGCAAGCTATAGAAGTCAAGTTTATTCTGTATATATAGGGGAAGGCTTCTATATACTGTAACTGCTATTCAATAGAAGGTAATTAGTATGGTGTTAATACCAGATGAGTAAGAAAGAAAATACTAGGCAAAAGAAACATACAGTAGAACAATATGTATAATAGCACAATGGTTTTATTGATGACAGAAGAAAAAAAATTTTGTTTTACTTGCAAAAAGGTTTTTGCTTTAACTCAGTATTTTTTTCCATTCTTTGTATGGGTTGCATTTTCCCCCTAAAATCTGCCTTTTTCTTTCTTCAAATAATAATATTCATGATGGCTGCATCTTACTATGAAGGGGAAGCAGAAGGTCTATCAACAAGTTTGACCAGGATGTTTCAATCAGCGATCCTTTCTTCGCAAAGAATCTATTTAAAAAAGAAACGAAGAAAATGAGATTGGGTCCCTTAAATTAACTTTTCCATACTTTTTCAAGATACTTCTGCTGAAACTTATTTATAAGCGTGAAGTGTTCATATAAATATCAATAGATCTCAAATAGAATAAATTGAACACTGCTGTATAATTTGTGAATTTTTGAGATACACCTCTGGCACTGTTAGATTTTTATTGCTAGCATGTTGGTTTTAGGAATTTGGATTTACTAGATATTTTTAACAAAGGAGGACCTAAAAAGAGGAAGTCTACCAGTGAACTTCCATCCCATTTTACCCACCTCCAGTTTCTCTTTGAAGACCTCTATACTGGATTAATCTACATGGGTTATTTATTTTGGTCTGGCACCTCCCCCTGCCTGTCTCCCACCTTTCAAATACAGGTACCACTGTATTTGAAACCAAAAAAATCAGTGCTGACAACAGAAAAACTGGGATAAGTGATGAAAGACTTATTTGCTGCAGTTTTGTTTGCTCAACTCCATGCATGAAAAAGTGCAGGGGAGAACTGATCCCCACAACTGCATGGCATACAAACAGCATCTCAGTCTTCTGAAGTAAAGTCTCCTCATCTGAAAGCAGAGCTTCAGCTACTGTTACCGTCACATGATGCCAGTCCTGTGGGCATCACAGGGCTCTGTAACTGCTGACTGTATAGCAATCATTTCCTGACCTTCATCTGAAAAATTCTGCACCAGATCGTTAACAACAAAAAATTTATCTATCTGTATTATCTTCTACTAGGAAAAAAATGGTATTAACTGTACCTTTGAAAATAAAGTCACAATACTTTGTAGATATTGGTTTCAAGGTTTCTGGCTAATATATAAAACTGTGAAGATCATCCTTCTATCAAACAAATAAGAAACTAGAAACAAAGTTCAAAGTGAGTCAACAGTTACTAAACTGCTTTATATTCTGAACCCTAACCTCTATACACTAGAGAGCTCCCTGCCAATCTGTCCTACGAACTCTTCCTACACAGGTCTGCCATCTCTCTTTTCACAGCCCAACATACACTCTTGCAGGGGCCCAGTATAAATAGCTTCTTAAATTCTTTCTCTTCTGTTGCTAAAATCTATCCCACAACCAACAGCAATATTTTGTAAGCTTAATTTTGATCTTATCACTCTTATTCAGAAGTTCATGATTATATGAAATATATCAAACTCCAATTTGTATCAGAAGCTACACACTGTTCTGTCAGTACCAACAGTACTTTTGATACACATTTTTGGTTTACACACTATTGTAGCCACTGAGAGCCACTTATTAAGGTCTTTGTCCCCTTTGCAAGCTGTCTTCTGCCTTTACAATGTTTTCAGAGGACTCCACTCCTACAGTGACTGTAGAGATTAATAGTTGCTATACAGTTCCTAGGATTCCAATCATGCCAGAAACTTCTCCAAATGCACAAAGTTTTAGTCAGTTTTACCAACTAAAGAACCATATATAATTTCTCTTTTCTACACCTGCTCATATTTTCAAGTTGTCTGTAACAATGTGGAAAATGTCTAGGAAATAGATGTTTGGAGTTTTGAGTGCTATCTCTCTTCAAATCTCAGATCTGACTTGTTATCACTTTTTCCTCAGCCTTGGGCCTATTTCTCTACTTTGGCTGACACCTTTTCCTACCCAGGTATCTTCTGCTTTGCTAGTCACTGGTGTTGGCCTTAGTACCAGGCTCAAGTGGACCCCAGTTTTCTCTCCACATTGGGGAAAGGCTGGGGACAGGGAAGTGCACAGGCCTTGAAAAAACTTTAGGACAAACAAGGAATGTGCAAATTACATACCTGAGATGTTATGAGAATATCCTGATTTAATAAACACTTAATGAACAGCTTCTATGTGTCATTTATAACCTAGCAAAGTACCTAAAATATGACTATAAAATCATATTTTTAAAAAGTGATACTAGAAAGCACCATGTTTCCATTATCCTGAATAATTTTAGATAACAAAACCTTAGAAAAATTTCAGCATACATTAGAATTCATACTTATATTTGCTGAAAATCAAATGGCTGACTATCATATGTATCTTCTTTGTAGATATTTAAGTTAATAGAAACCAGGAATGAGGAAATAAAAAGAAAATATCTTTTCTCTTCAAAATATGTTCGATTTAATTTTGTAACAAAAGCATAAACTGCATCTTTGTGTTGAATTTCCCAAAGATAGTAAGTGCCTCAATGGATATTTCATTGTACTTCAGTCTTTCATAATACACTGCTGAAATAAAATACAGAAACAATTTTCTTTAGCCAAGAGATGTTTTGCTTACTTACTTATTTTTAGGGTGAAATTTGATATTATAATGAGAAGCTTTTAAATCATACCATGATGAACTGTTTCCTCCCTAAAATTAATTCTTATTGATATTAGGAACACAAAATTTCTGTGTCACATATTTTCCACATGAACAGTACAATGTAAAGCAAGCATTTGGTTGAGATGAAAGTTTTTTTCTTTTTTTTTACATCTGTATTCGCATATATTAGTTGTAGGGTGGGGGGATTCATTTTGACATTTCCATATATACTTACATTGTGTTTTGGTTAGGTTTGCCCCTATCATCTCTCTTCCTCATCTCCTTCCCCACCTACTTAGCTACACTGTTCTATTTCATATTGTTGTTTTGCTTTTTTTTTTTGGGGGGGGGTTGGGGAGTAGTGGAGGTCGAACCCAAGGCCTTGCATTTGCCAAGCATACCATTTTAGTCACTAAGATGAAAGTTTGAACTCAGTGAAAAAAGAAAGACTGAGATACTTAAGCTGATTAGAACTATTTGCATTGTACCATTTCATATGAATAAGCTACAACTACCTCAGGACTATGGTTTATAATTAGTTCTTTAAGCAGCATACTCTTTTTCAAAGAAAATTTTTCATGAAAACTTAATATGTAAAATACATGAACGAAGTTACAGAAAGGGTGAGAGGTCAGAGTTCCTGCCATCTGGCTAGGCCCTCATTTACTTTGCCCTCACTTCTAGCCCAGCTAAAGCCTACCTTCCTCCATCAAACTCAAAGGCAGTCCTGAGAAACCCAGAGTCCTAAAGTCCACTCTCAGACAACCAAGGAGCTGACAACTTTGACCTCTTTTTAAAATTTTGCATTAAGCAATTTAAATGTCTTCACAAAGTTAAGAGTAATACTCAGTTTTAATTTACTTTTTAAATTGACATTTAATTATAAGCACAGTGAGCTTATTTAAAAGGGTGTATTCAATCCTACTCAAAGAAAAGTTCCTGAAATCTTCACATATACTCTGATTCTGCTTAAAAATAGTCAGGGGCATTAACTGAAAAGCATGCTACAGAAAACACTCTGACTGAAGGAGTAGCTCTTCTGTAATCGAGGGACAGACAGAAGGCCACGGCTGTCTGCTTTACCGCCTTGTATTAAGCACACAGAAAACCAGTGATAAAGGAAAAAGGAACCAGATCAGATTGCTCAGATATTTCAGAAGTCAATTGCCATTAGGCTTCTGCTTCAGACAGACTACCACATACAAAGTTGAACGTTCTTAAAAGGAAAAAATATTTTTACTTGAATTAAGAGCATCAGAACTGATTTTTAAACCCATGAAGGCACTCTGGGAAAGCTAAAGGAGATACAATGTTCTAGAACAGTTTTGATAAGCAGAAGTAGCACAATGAACACACATAAATTTTAATTTTTTTAGTAGTCACATTAAAATAAGTAAAATTAAATAGTTAATAACATTTTATTTAACTTAATATATTTAAAATATTATCATTTCAACATAAAACCAGGATAAAATTATTAATGAGATAATTTAGTTTTTTTCTTTACTAAGTCTTTGAAATTTGGTGTGTTTATTTTTTACTTATGTTACATCTAGGGGCATTTTAACCACTGCTGGTTTGAAAACCAGAGTGAGTCACTTAGCAGGGGAAAAATGCAACATGGTAACAGCCTAAGCAGAACAAATAGTTGAAATGGGGAACTGAAAACAATTTCTAAAAAATTCTCAGTGGTCTTACCATTGAGGAGACTGATTAAACAAAAAAGGATATGGCTAGAAATGATTGTTAGGGTGATATAGTTCAAAAGCTATAATGGGAAAACTGATTTTTTTTCAATGTTCAAAAGTGCTAGCATATTAAAAAAAGATGAATGTTATCAAAAAGGGCAAAAGTATTTTCTTCCAAATACATTAAGAAATAAGGTCTATGTCCATTGGCATGAGATACTTTAGATTGGCCACATAAGTTCCTGACATTTTTTTGTTATCCCTCTCTTCCTAGTGAAGATGATTTTCAGATAGCAACTCTCTCTTTTGAAACTCTAGCATGAAAGCTTTTGGATCATAAGACCCCAAAATTACACTTTAGTAAGTAATGACATTGTCTTTGCACAACTCATGAAGATATACTATGAAACGTTTCCTCTTTCTTAAAAAAAATTGAAGTAAATTAAACAATAAAAAATGAAGTCAACTACCCAGGTTGGTGATTATCTACTCCTTTGTTTTCTTTTATGTCCTTTTTTGCTTTTAGAAATTAAGTAATTTTACATACAGTCCTCACTTCCAAACAAGAAGAGAGGAGGTACAGAGAAAAAACGGAGGTTAGAAATAGCATTTGTGTGGAAAAGTGGTAGAAAAGGAATATGCAACTATGCTACAAGCTCAAATACATTATAATCACAGGTTGTTTTACAGAATCAGTTTCTTCTATGTATAGTATTATAAGTATCAATAATTGGACCTATATATGCAACACGAAGTACATTTTTCTTTATATGGAAGCACTTCAAATGCTAACTTTACCTTTTCTAGTTCCTAGCCCGGGGAGGTTGGTAGAACTGCTGGGTTGGCCGAGTGGATCGTCTTGGCTGGCCATCACCTCCTCTGCGGAACTCAAGAGTTTGGTCATAGGTGCCTTCTTCATCCTGTTTGCAAAGAGTAATGATTCAAAATGTTCAAAACAGATCCAAGTATTCTAAGCCAAATATACTTCATGGTCTCCACTTTAATTTACCCTCTTAAGGTACCCAGAGATTCGAATCTGTCAACTTTAACAACAGTGGGAAGCAAGGAGAAGGGAAAAGAAAGGCAAGGACACTTAAAACTTTGGTCCTTGGTAAGAGAAGAATGTAACTTAGAGTGGTAAGATCAGAATCAAATTTAATTTCGGAAAAGGAAACTATGTCTAGATAATAGCATCACTGTCTCATCAAATGATTTGATACAATGTGGTGAAAATATAGATCAAAATTTACACCAATAATATTCTTGAATATTTGGGCTTTTAAATATTTTTACTTATTTATCATGGAAAGGAACCTTGGTAAAATATGGAAAAAGGATTGAAGAGCCAGAGAACATTCACCAATGTCTGTCCTCATCTGATGAAATCTCCAACATCGTTAAGAACCTTACATATAGAGGTAGAGAAAAATAATGAATTGGAATGGGGGGGAACATACAATTTACTTATAAAGAAAGCTTCATGCAAGATCCAGAGGTTACCACAGTACAAGACTTTATTCTCATTTTACAGCTTATGGAATAGCATGAGGAAATTAGGATAGGCAGATTAAATAGCAGAGAGAGTATAGTTAATTATAGTTTTTGAAAAGAACTTAGAAGCAACAAAATGTAGCCAAAAGACGCACTGGTTTCTTACTGAGTGCTGCCACCCTATTATTTTGGTGTTTTTGAATTAATTCAGCTATGAAGTCTGTGTTCTATTAGAGACAGAAAAATTGGCTTTCAATTTATGATAACATCTATTTCATTGACTTTAAATTCCAACTGGATTATCAGAGTACAGAAATTTGTATGATTTTGGAAATTTATTTCTTCCTCATTTTATCTTTGCATCTTCTTTCCCAAAAGATTGCTTTCCTTTTGACTCTATTAAGAAAATAGGAAATTATATGAAAGACTGAGTTCTATCCTTTAAATGTTTACAGATCCAACTACTGTAATTTTACCTAACAGAAACAGAAAGATGCTAAGGTAATTTGATCAAATCCTATTACTTAGTAATGATATTTAGTATTTGGCAATGGACATAATAATCCTCATTATTAGGTATCTTCCACAGCATCCTTAAGAAAGAACCATTATTTCCACTTTATATAAAGGATACAGAAGTCCAGGAAAGCTTTGTTACTTTTGTCCTAATATCTCTAATACAAGACAAATTTGGGTTTTGAATTCAAGCACTGCTGTTTAAATCTTTATATCTCTATGTATAAAAGAAATAAGCTAACAGCCAAAACTTCACAATCATCCTCAAGGGCCTGTCATCCACAAATAAGAGAGTGGTGAAATCTGGCAATACATCTGATATAATTCAATAGCCATCTTTTACAGAGTAACTTCCAGATGAGCTCTCCTTCTCCTACATCCTTTTCATTAGAGGTGTCAAATATTCTGTCTGTAAGTTAGCAAAGCAATTAATGCAAGATGATCTGGGCCTGATGGTACACACCTGTAGTTCCAGTACTCAGGAGGCTGAAGTAGAAGGGTCGTGAGTTTGAGGCCAGTTGGGGCTACACAGTGAGACCCTGTCTCTGAGAAAAAAAAAAAAAAAAAAGGTAGGGGGGAGAAAGAAAAGAGAAAGAAAAATATAAAAGTCTTCAGGTAAGGAGATGGATACTTTTTTTTACTATTCTAGTCATTGTGCTCTGAATGATTGTCAAACATACCTAAATTTGAAAAGGATATATTTAATCTTAAGATAAGGACAACATTTAAAGATTTGCATATTAAATGAAAATATACTTGGTAGTGTGGGAGATAAGGTAATTACTACAGGAATTAAAATGAAATGTTATTTTTCTCCACACTCAGCTGCAGAAGTGGATAGAGAACACCTGAAAATCTGTACTTTACCAATAAACACACCATTAGAGGCAAGACATTGCATTTGCTGAGTGACTGCCTAATAAAAATGACAGTGCTATTTGAAAAGCTGTCTCTTCTGTTTTTAAGAGTCACAGGCTGTACTAACCAGACCCAATTAAATAGTTTTATAGAGATGACTGACCATGAGATTTCTTTCATATAATTTGATACCTTCACAATCTTTTTAAACAAAGTGGAAGTCAAAAAATTAAAAATGATTCTGACAGTTTAGTTTTTAATTATTATCAAAGGCACAAGGCACATGCTTTGCCTTTTTTAACTTTTAAATTCCCTCTACAGAGCAGTCAAGGGCAAATCTGGTTACCCACAACAACCACTTTTTATAGTCATAGCTAGTAATTCTTAGCATTGAATGGGTACCATTTTCTACTTTATGCAAAACACAGCTCAACTTAATCAGTTTTTTTCAACTATCTTGCAATGAAATTCATGTTGTTCCACTTCTAGCCTATATATTTTTCCTTCAGGTTTCAGTACTTTATAACAGATTGAAAACTGTAAAGAAAAAAAAACTCTTAATTTCATAGTTCATGAGCATATTTTTTAAAAATCTGATATTGCATTAGGTGGCACAATCCTGGAAGGCCATCGACCCCTCCATCCCTCTAGATTTGATGAACCAACCTGAAAATCCAGACAGATGAAGTGATTTTCCCAAGCCACAGAATTCATTAGAGGAAGAGTCCTGACTAGGGCCATTTGGTTTCTGACTCTCAGGCAAGGCTGTTTGTAAGACTTATGATAACCTCTATAAAATGGGAATGTCCAATGTCATCTTCACCTAAACTTTTCAGGCTTAAAAACCATTTCATTAGGACTCGGATTTCGGCTCATTTCAGCCAACTTATCAGATAAAATCTGGTTTTACAAAACTAAATAACATTCAATATAAGCCCTCTTTTCATGCCAACATTAGTAAACAATATGTTTCTTTTCAAGAAAAGATGCTAAAATGCAAAAATTACTGTGACATCAAGCAGAAATGGAGTGGCATTTTAAACAAAACAAGATGCAAACCAATGCAATAAATGAGGTATACAACTTCATTGATAAAACACATTTGACAAGGCATAACTATGTCTTTCCTGCATATCATCTTTAACCTCTCAGTGCACACTGTGTCTGGAGAACACAGACCAGCCATGTATTCTCTTTAATAAATGAGCTGTGTTACAAAAGTTCATTGTAAACCAGTCATTTGGAACCTGGAACATATTTCAGTAGAAGGTTTGAATTCTGAATATTTACATAACAGTCAAGTATTCCACAAATATTAAGGTGAAAAGCAGCTAAGCATACAAACAACTCTCAACTGAGAGTTATTTCGCCACTCAGGGAACATTAGGTAGTGTTACTGCGCAGAGTTATTACGACATTTGATAGGTAGAGGACAGGGTTGCTTCTAAACATCTTACAAAACACAGGATAGACCACATCACAAAGAATTATCCAGTTCCAATGCCAACAGTGCTACGGTTTGGAAACCTGGACTAAGCCATTCTTATGTGCCAGAGCAGCTTAAAAAGGAATTCTAAAATTCAGGAAGTTTAGGTTGGTACCCTTCCCTACAACCATAACACTTTTTTCCCTTTTTTTGGACATACTCTCTTTGAATATTTCTCTGTTTCTGTAAGGCCAAATGATGCCTTCCCAACTCTCTATGAGGCTTTTCAAGGGCTGGTGGGTGGGAGTGTATTTGCTGACAATATTTTCTATGCTTTCCTCTGCTCCACCCACATGTTATTTACTCAACATAACAAATCAAATTTACCACTCTTTCAGCATTTTCACAGTCATAACTGTAAGGAGACAATGACAGATTACTTGGCTGGCAAGGGTAGGGAGTGGACACAGCAAGTTTCTTAATAAAACAAAAAACAAAAACTTAACTGTCTTTTAATAGCTAGTTTGTGTGTAACTTAAGGTTTCTTCTAGCTTGTTCTTTTTAATAGAATGCACAGTAGTCACAAAACATAAGCCTGCAACATGAAATTCAATGTAATCCCAACAACTATCCTTCAAATTTAGAATATTCTGAACAATGAGATGTTAATGATTTTATGTATCTCCTTCAGTGAGTTATATAAAAAACTAATTACTCGAAAAATTACCATACTACACTTTGCCTGCCTGGTTAGCTTGTTATGGAAACATAACTAAATTTAATATGAAGCAAGCAACCATTGTGAAGACAGTGACTGCTTCTCCAAATCTGCTTTGCCAATCTGTTGTACCAAAATATTATGCAATGGTTTCCAAAAGCAAAACTAAGAATACTTGTAATGATTTATTTTTAAATTAATTTTACTAATATTCTATTATATCAGAGCAGCTGAAAATTGAAAGTCAAACTTGGATCAACTCTTATTTTCTGTGAAGACCAGGGATAACCTTTTGTGCCTAAGAGACTTGTGTATTATCGACGCTGAACCTTGGTTTATCAATTACCTTTATTTAAGAGATCTGTTCTACTTCAATATTTACAGTTTTACCACAAAATAACCAAGCCCATGATAGCCTGGAATCACAAATTATAAGAGTAACTGTCCATTGCAAAAGGACAACTAAAAAGTTATTTTCTCAAGTAATTAGTACCACAACTCGAGGAGAACACAGGTCTGGCAAATTCAGTACCCCTTTCTGAAATGAGATTTTATATAGATTACCAATGTAAGATAGGTGGGATCAGGTTAAAGTGGGTGTTTTTCCACATGTATGAGCAATAGCCCTTGATTTCTGTTCCTCAGTGCTACTAAGACTTGAAATCCTTGGGGCACAAAGACTAAACTCATCCTAGTTCAACCCGTGCTAGGAGCCAATGAGGTAGAGTACTTGAGAGTGTAAGAAAGTGAGTTAGTGAAAGAATATGAACCGGAACCCTACTCATGACTGCCATAAATTAATTATCTCATTTGATACGAAAAATTCACCTATGAACCTAAATAGAAAAAAATCTCTCAGGCTTCATTACCATGCGAAATCTATTATGATAAATGACATATAGAGAATTTTA